TTTTTGAGGGATGTTGGAAAATAAGTAGGATTCATGGGCGAGAGGATGGAATAATTGTTGGAAGAAGAAACTTGTGAAAGGGTATTACCACGGGAGTTGGATGATCGACAACCCCATCGTTGGTGTTTAGCATTGTAGTCTCCTCCAGCAATAAAGCGCGATCCGAGGGATTGTAATAAGGATTCAAGTAGGCTGTACGAGAGGGAATTGCCAGGAGGACAGTATACAGCTGAAAGTGTTAGATGGAAAGGACGAGTTGAGAGGATTACAGAAGTTGACTGAATGGCATCTGTTGGAATGGAAGGAATAAGGGAATGGGGTAAAGATTTATGGATAAGGATGCAAGAACCGGCGTGGGCAGTGTTGTCTGGGTGGTCAGATCTATAGGTGATGTAGTCACGTATGTAGAAATGTGTCCGTTGGGTGAAGTGAGTTTCTGTTAGGAGGGCAATGTCAATATAATTGTCATGGAGAAATATGTCTAGTTCGTCACGGTGGTTTTGCAGTCCATTAGCGTTCCATAAGAGAATAGCTAGGGACTTTGTGTTCATCGAGGGAAGCTAAGCGGGATTTCGGAAAGGAGTCTGGTTAGAAGGGTTATGAGCGGTTTGATAGTCTGTTGAAGATCTATCAGGAATGACGATAGGATAGTGTTGATGTCGGATGGTGTTTGGCTGGGAAGTGGGTTTGGATCAGGAGGTTGTGATGGGTAGGTTATGCGACTAGGAATGTTGGGTGGGGGATGGGCCCGTCGTGGGGTACGAGGAGGAGGATCTAAATTCTGTTGGACTTGTGGAGGGGGGTTCATCCTGGGATTAGGAACGAATGGAGCTGGATGTGGATGCTCTGGCGGGAGTTTGACTCTTAAGGGTAAATGATGAGGAGGGATTTGCTGGCGAGGAGGTTGAGGCTGAGGATTAGGGATTTTGGGCTTGGATTGGAAGACCTGACGTTGAGGTTGCTTCTTACTGATGGAAGACTGGGAGTGAGAATTTCTGAGATTCTGGTGAGGTGAGTCCTTAGCTGTAGAGATGGATGGTTGTTGAGGGAAGGTGAAGTCGGCAATGCTGGGAACATTTCCTGATTTTCAATTTCAGGTGCCTCAGTGTAAGTTTTCTGAGCAGATCCAAAATTTTTCACCGCTGTGTTTCCTGATCTTTGTTTGTAAAGATTTATATATACTTCACAGCCTCTGTAGCTAGCAGGACGGGCTTCGCCACAAAGAGCACACGTCGCAGGCTCATCTCTTGGCTTCTGGCAAGAGGTCGGCACATTTAACGCACCTGACTTCGTGATAACAATAGGCCTTTGTATGGCCCAAGTTTTGACACTTAGTGCATTGTACAATTAGAGGCTTCTATTTCGGTTCCTCAAAACGGACTATTGAGTAAACCAATCGTTGAACCTGGAATATTTCAACATTGGTTTTTGCTGGTTCCAAGTCTATAAAAAATAATGGTAGCGGATATCTTTCTCTAGGATGTAGTACAGGTGCTATGTGCCTGACATTATGACCGATTTCTTCGAGGCCCGATTTGATAGCAGATATGGGTGTGGTTGAATGTAGTCCTCTCAGGACCACTCGATACGCCTTTTCTTGTTTTAATTGGTAACAGTGGAAGTCGTAGTTATTGGTTGTTAAAAAATTGATCAGTTTTTTATAATTGTCTCTAGAATTAGTATTGATTTTGATGTCGTTCACTCTCGAGTAACATCGAAAATTTGGCTGTCCGATCAAATCTGCAATTTGTTGACCAAACGACATAAAGTTCTTAATTTTTGAAACAAATATTGGCGGCGGCTCAGGATCAGAAAAATCTTGAAGCTGCGGAGTCTTGTGAGATAAGTTGTTTTCTTGAATTGAGTTTTTGCTTTCTGATGTTTTTGGTGCAGTTGGCTCTGATTGAGTGGCATTAGATTTGCTCCTAGTTCTCGGTGGAGATTTATCTTGTTCTGGTTGCTTATTTGATTTATTTTTCTTTTTTTTTTATTAGGTGAGTTTTGTCCCGATCCGGGAACTGAGTTTCGGAGACGCTTTTGGAGTGTACGCCTTTTCAAATATTGCGAGTCGGTCTCGCTAATTTCCGAAAAGGGTGTCTCATCTTCCGTGTCTTCACATGATGTGTTCTTATCCAGATCCATCATGATAAGTGTTAGAGAAAATAAAAAAAAAATAAAAAATATATATATATATATATATATATAAACCTAAATATTAAAATTAAAATTTATGAGATAACTTCTTAAAAACTAAGCTATTTACAAAATTATTTACATAAATATATACAGATATAAAATAAAATATAAAATAATTCATTTCCAAAAAATAAATAATCAAAGAAAAAAATGAAATAAAAGAGTCTCTGGAAAGAAAAAAAAAAAGAAAATATAAAGAAAAAAAAATGAAGTTAAATGTCTTGGATTCGAACTGAGAATAACACTGAAGAATGTTATTGTACACAGTGCCGAGCCTTGGCTTGAACTTATCGCAGATAAGGTAAAACCCGCAAGGGAATTACTAGCCACATGGGCTAACCAAACGAGCACTAATTTATAACTGTTTCATTGTTAATAAATAGTCACTCACCTGATCATATGTGAATATAAAAATGTAAAACAATTAATATAGTCACTGTTGAAAAAGTCTTAGAGCAGTATTTTAAATAATAAGCACATTAAATCGTATCAAGGATAGAGCGACGTGTAAGTTTAATTGCACTAGCGGCCATGACACTTGCTACTCATGAATTTAGTTAAAATAATTTTAAGGCCCACAGATTTTTCTTGGCGGTCATTTTTAATTTTGTGTTCGACTGAAAACATATGTTTTGGGAAAATAAACTCTGGTTACTTTGTAGATATCTAGCCAAAAAAACAAAAAACAAAACATAATTTAGAGTATTTCGTCTACATATCTGTTGACCAATACACCATCTACAAAGAAAGGAAAGAGGTTTATAAAAATCATGAATATTGCCAAAAAAAGGTGACTTTTAGGGCTGCAAAAGTGTAAGAAAGTAAAGAGTCTCAACTTTAATTTTTTCCTCATATGTACTCCTTGCTGATGAAATTTCAATCTTGAAAACCTTCTTCTTTTTTAAATATGAATTTTCAAAAACGCTCAAAAGTCGTTTTCGGTGATTTTTGATGTTATACAACATACATACATACATACAACATACAGCGTATTTTAAGGTCTGTTACCAAAATAAATAAATTGTCAATTGTTGAGTACCCGCGTCTAAAACCTTTTTGGTATTGGACTGAGAAGTTCATTATCCGTGACAAAAGTTTCCAAACGTTGCAAAAGTAGACCAGTCAAAATTTTCGCAGATACATTCAAACATGAGATACCCCTATAATTATGAATATCATTGACGTCACCACGTTTAAAAAGAGGAAATAATATAGATTTGCCAAAGGAAGCCGAAGCTTCGTCAGTCTCATAAATTTGATTATAAAGAGGAAGCAAAGCTTAAAGGGTAAAAATACAACGGGTGCATGTTTGTAAAACTCATATGATATTCTATCAATTACCGGTGCCTTGTTATTGTTTAAATTACTAATCACAATGTGCAATTCACTTAAATTAAAAGGAAGGTTCAGAGAAGTCAAATCAACATATGGTTCAGCATATAATACAGGTCCACCATTACCATTACCAGAGATCGATATTACTATATTTATTTACTACTTTACTTGATGTAAAACGGTTATGTGAAGTAGTGATTGAATTCCCAATAGTGATTCAATTTGAGTAATATACTTGGTACTCAGAGTATCATTTGCCCATCTTAAATAACTTCCCTGCCCACCTCAAGTAACTTCCTACTCATATTATCAAATATCAATTATTTCTAAACTATTGCATTTTAATCCACCACCATTTTAAATGCAGAATTTAGGAGACACTTGCAAACTTTGCTCTTCTTAATACCCTTTATTGATCAACTGATCGCATTAAGAACTGGATGGACTTTAATGGAACTACATTGTTATGCAAGAAATATGTTGCCCAAGATAAAATTTGTTTTGAAAAACGAATAAAATAACACTGACAAAAGAACACGCAATCCAAATAGAAATTGAATTATAATAAAATAAGAGAAGAAGTCGTGAGGATGGGAAACATTCCCATGTTAACGTGTAATAGTATGTGACAAATTTACCAATTACTGGTCTTAGAGGAATTTCCTTTGCCAACTTCACAATTAATAACTTAGAAAGCTTCTACAACAAGAAGCAAAGAAGAAAAATCTTCATGTGAATCTTTGGTATAAAGTGGCTCAAAACATTGTTTACGGTAATTAACTGTTTAAGTTTTGATAACGTCTTGATCCAGTGGTTGACATTTTGAAGGTATTTGAGCATTTTAAAAAAATTTAAAACATTTTTTAATGTTGTGCTCGAGTAAGAAGAAGTATTGTCTAGAAAAAGTAGTTATTTTTCTTCTCTGACTTCCCATTTTATTGTAAAAATTAGGCGAAATCTAATTCTAAACCACATGGTTTTTATAGAAAAGGTAGATGAGTCGGAAGAAATATGGTGTAAATAACCTACTAAAAGTTAATTGTTAAATAATTTGTTGGAATAGCGAATAGCCTTCCGCTTTTATATAGGGGAACTAGGTTATTCACACTCCCGAATATTAAAACAAAACCCCGGCACTGGATATAGACTTTGTTGGGTGTTTAACTGTAGTTGTGAGTTCGGGAATCTACTTTTTGTGACACTGAGTGAGGAGAAACAATAAGAATACATATATATATATATATATATATATATATATACCTATACCGTAAGAAGGTTGTTTATAAAGAACTATTTGTATACGACTCTTAAAATTGTCCAGTAAAGAGAGGTGTTCCTTAAAGAGGGAGATATTTATCGGGTGGTTTCACTGTAAATCAAAAGAAAAAGAATGTGGTTACTGAAATGTTTCAAACCATATTCCCAATACTTTCCCCTGTGTGTTGTCAATGTAAAAGGCTGAGGGACAGATGGAAACAAGGCTATATTGGATACCTGGGCAGCTATATCTTATCCAGGTTATCATCACAATATTGGTCGGAGACAGTGGCGTGCGGGGCAGCCCACCGCCCCAGGGTTCGCTAACTGTAAGGATCACGCGATGCTCCTAACTGGTCCAGTCTCATTACTCATGGAAATATCCCCCTCCCCAAAGATGAGAAATATTCAAACTACGTTGTCATAAACAGAAGAACGAGGGAGCTTTTATGCCATTTATTATCAGCATTTTATTCAATGGAGAATATCAGAATATTTTTTTAAAAACGCTTCAAATTATTTCTCCAGAGTTAATTATTTCTGAACAGTTGAAAAAATAAATAGTAAGATTTCAAAAATTGTTTGAATAAATCATGTATGTAATCAAAATGTTTATTCATCTAAAACCACTTATGATACAACCACAGGTGGGTTTTTTATATGAATATGACGCTAAGCACTGAAAGCTTCGAGAACAAAATGGAAATAAATGAGATTTAAAAAAGGGCGTTGTTTCTAATTATCAAAATAAAAAAGGTTTCCCACCTTATGGTCTATAAATGGTAGAAGGAAGTCTGTAGATACTTCTCCATCTGTGTCGGTCTTCCAATAGCTCTCTTCTTCTTGTGTATTCGAATCACTATGGAAATCCTTCCCTTCCTACATCAGTCAACCCATTACCCTCTCTACCTTTAAATCCCGCCTGTTCAATCATTTTTTATCCATCCAGAGATTAGTTTGAATTAAAGTAAGGGCTTAAAAGGTTATTTTAAGTTAGTATAATTTTATATACTAATGACTACCATTATGAATCGGTTTGTTTTATATGGGTTTCCAGTCACGTGGGTATAGTTGGTAATGAGCTTGCTATCCTGACCCCTCCAGAAATGAGTTTTCCTCTCAAAAACGAAATATTGGATAGTTGGCAATCTATGTGGAACGAAAGCCCACCTAGCAAATTAAAAGCTGTTAAAAAATCGGTGAAACCTTGGATCACATCAAACCGCTCTAATCGTAGAGAGGAGGTCGCCGTGGCCAGGTTAAGAATAGGACATACGAACCTTACCCATGTACATCTCATCACTAAGCAGCCACCACCAATTTGTCAGCATTGCAATAGCCTTCTCACAGTCAACCATATTTTCCAAGATTGTCCTTATTATACTTCAAGCCTAAATCGATTGTCTCTAAAACCGGATATATCAGTGGTATTTAGCAACAACGAATCAAATATAAAAACAGTGATACAATTTCTTAAAATACATAGACTGTTGAATAAAATATAGAAATAAATATAATTTTAATTTCATTGTTCTTTCTTTTTTAATATTTATTTTAATATATTTCATCTTTTATATGTTTCTAAATTTCTTTTTATTTATTACTATATCTATTGTTAATTATTAACTCTCCTTTAAAGAATTTACAAATATAACCGACTCACAGGCGTTGATGACCCTAGGGTTTTAAGCCTTAAAGCCTAAACAAACAAACAAACTACCATTAAGATGTAAAATACGATATATATATATATATATATATATATATATATATATATATATATATATATATATATATATATATATATATATATATATGTATTACGTAAATTGATATATTATTGATTTATCCAATTTTGTTAGGATTGCAAAAATAGATTGCAGGGCGTTGTGTTTTAACCCTCACAATACATCCTAACTATTTCAAAACAAGTTATTTTAGCTTGATGGAATCATGCATGGGTTTAAGCACTTCTAAGTTTTTCCGTAAGGTCTATTGACTTTGAGCTTTATACCCAACTCTTGAATAAAGTATATCAAGCCTTAAAAGCCCTGTATACCCCAACTCTTAACATCTGAATGAAAGCAATATTAAAGGATATATCTCTGGAAGCTTACATGATAGTAAGAATAATATCGCAGGATAAAATAAAATAAATATGTTTTCACTTAGGAATAGATTGTATGGAAAAACAATAATAATAATGATAATACCGAATGGTAGAGGAGGTTCGAAACCGAACAAACAATTTTTTATTTTTTATTTGGTAACTGAGAAATAACTAGCAGCTCCTGTATTTAATTTGGCTTTTATTTGTCATCAAATTCCATTTCTTCATGACACTAAAGTTCCAGCCAAATACATAAATCTCTCTTGTTGTTTTACCGCTAATATTCGTTTTTCCAAAGTCCATTGACGTATTGACCGTCTATTTTATTACTAGCCTTAATTCTTCAATATCATCTATTAGTGTTGTAATATTTAATTTTAACACCTGTTGAATGTTCACATATCCATATCATATCCTATAATACGATACGAATAGTCCGTGATAGAGACCCTTTTTTATGGAATTATTAACATCAGCTCAAACCTTTGTAAATAGTTTCATATCATCGTAATCTACAACTATTTTATTCACGAAAACTCTTGAAATTGGGACCTTTTCGATCTGGAGGAGGGTAAACTTTGTCTATTTAATTAGATAATAAAAACACATAAATACCCATTTACTTTCTACTTGGATCGTAAGACAATTTAATCACGAAATCGATAAAAAAGAAGGGCGTACAAAAATATTAGACCTTTTGTCCTGTATAACCTTGTTATTTTCACAATTTGGGACTTTAGGTCACGCCAAACGGCTCAACATTTTTGAAGGCCACTTTTTATCTCGATTTTGTGATCAAATTATCTTATGATTCAGGTGGAAATCAAATGTGTATTTACGAGTTTTTAGTACCTAATTAAAAAGACAAAGTTTGCCCCACTCCAGAATGATAACGCCCTAATTCTAAGAATTTCTGTAAATAAAATAGTTATAGGTTACGATGAGATGAAGTTATTTACGAAGTTTCAGGCGGATGTTAAGAATTTGATGAAAATGGGCCTGTACCACGGACTATATCATAATACTAATTTTTCTCAATTGAATTTTTATTTTATTAAGAAATAATACATTTTCCCACACTTAAGTTCACTATATATTAAAAGCCACTAGCGGATCCAGGATTTAATTTGGGGGGGGGCTTCAGCCCGAAAGATTTTTTTTTCATATACATATAATGATAATTAAACTGAAAAAAAAAGAAAGAAATTAACTACCTATATGAAATGGCGTTTAAATGGTTCTTGAAGTCCTATTAAATGTAATTAAACGAACAAGAGTACTTTAAGAGATAGTTTTAAATATTTTTTTCTTTAAAACATGATTATATTTTACCATTTTGGGGGAGAGGGTTTCACCCCGAAAGCCCCCCTCTCCCCGTAGATCCGCCTGTGATTAGAGCTATGTGAGACTCATTTATAGCATATATACCTTATGATACAACAATGACGAAAAAAACATTATAAAAAGAGAAAGAAAAAAAAACCTTGTTCTGTTACTAATGCATTAGATAATACCTGTTTTGATAAGAATTACCTATTTAAGGTAAAATTCCAATAATATATTAAATTTATTAAAAATTACTAATTCTGACTTAAGATTTCGATGTAGATTAACTAATTTGGTATTGTCCAGTAAAATATAATTTTATTTCCAACAGGTAACACATTCATTAGTCGATTTGAAAACGATGTAAAGTTGGTAAACTATAACTTCATATTATAACTTCTCTAATTTCACCGTAAAGGAAATATTTGATCGCTTGCTACTAAATCTACATGGATAGCCTCAGATGATTCATTTGGAATATTTCGTGATTTGAGTAGCTAATAGTAATTTGTTTTATGGCAAGTTGGAAAGTGTAAAATTTACTGATAATTTTAAAAATACCTTTCAGTTCTTTTTTATAAATATGAATTCATTAGATTCTTTAAAATGATTAGGTATTTTTCATTTTCATTGATGCATGTTTGCTATTCGCGCTTCTTCGAACAAGTGGTATCAAAGCAAAATTCAACTTCTGTCATGATATTGATTAATATTAGTAAAACGTAATGGAATATATTGAGTTGTCCGGAAAATTCGAAGGGAAATTAAGACAATAATTAAAATTCCTTTATATAAATTAAATATAATTACCACCATTAGCGATGACATTTTTCCAAATGCTCAATAATCATCCTTTTTCTTATACAATGTAAGAACAATACAAGGTTCTTTTTTACGCCTTCTTCTGTGTAAGGTTTCCCGCTGAGAAAATTTAGAGGGTACGGAAAAAATAGTAATCTGAAGCAGCGATGTCAGTTAAATAAGGTGGTTGAGGTAAAACCTCGCGTCCGAAGCTCGGTGAGTGCTGCCAAGTCTTTAAAGAGACATAGTTGAGTATTATTTTTTCCTTGGCCATTTATCTTCAATTGACGCCCTCAATTTGTAAAGCTATCTCTAGGACAGTTAATGGTTTCTCACGATAGCACTGATATCCTCGATAATCATTGTTAAACTCCGGCCGGAACTGAATCCAAGTGAATCATTACCACACACAACTGGAATCTCATTTGAAGTTTGGACAGCTCTTTTCATTAAAAAAACAAACAAAAGCATAGTGAAAATGGAATTTATTGTTGCTCATGTACGGTTTGCACAAACTGGCAGTACTTTTTAAAGACAAACCAGGATTGTACAGATATTACATTGAGGATTCAAAATCACTTTGAACTACATTTAATATGAATTTAATGTTTACTTTTAATTAATAAAGTAGCTGGAACAAATAAACACGTGTTATTTACATAATATATTGTAAATAATTCATAACAACGAAATTCTTTAGGTGTGAATATCTCCTAAGCAAATAAATCGTTTGCAGACATACCTTCATAGGATTTTTTTTCTTCTTTTAAGGCTCTTAGTTCATATTTTCAGTTTGGCCACTTAACTCTGAAACACCTTGTATAAACAAACATAAGCTATTTAATTCAATATGAGTTGAAAGGATAATAATATATATTTTTTTAAAATGTCTATGAACTTTCCTGACAACACTATCCTTGTTTTTTTATCTTCAAATTTCCATCCGTACCTTGATAGGGACAATTAGCAGATTTGTTGTACTATATTTAGACTCATATAATGTTAGTTTTGTTTGCACTTTTATGAATACGCATTTTATGACCTTTGAAAGAACTCAGTTAATATTGAAATTAAGCTTTGGATAAAGGTATCTGTTTAAATCGGGAAGAACCCACGTCACGCGTGGTGGGATAACACCCACGCCGCTGACGCAGTAGCCACAGCCTATTGGTTGAACCGACATAAAGCCGACGATTGCCCTCCTAACCTTTGACTTTAACGATTCCAGGAGTCGACCCATGATATTCCGATCACCTCATGGTTTTGTTTTAGGCATGGTTTCCATAAGCTGGTACTAATTGACCTGCTTACTATAAACATATCTTCTCGCTGTCAACAGTTTTTAATACAATTTTTTTAATTTATATTTTATGCAATTTGCACCTGCGCGGCTGCGCAGCAAATTTGTTGTATTTATACTGTCTTGGTGCATTTTCTTGATTTTGTTTTTATCGATATAGTAGGTCTCTTGGCCATGTTCTTCTTAATCTGTGCCCTTCAGGTAACAGGAAGCAGGAGATAGAAAGAACCAGAGGATTGGAGTGATTTTGGGTTGAAGAATGAAATGTAGTGTATTTGTCGTGGATGTAGGATTTTACTGTTGGGGTGTTTAAGTCGTTTTGTATAGTATTATTTGATATGTACCAAGGCGCGTTAACAGTTTTTGTAAAATTTTTGATTGTGCTGTTTGTATTTTGTTTATGTGTGTTTGTTTTGCTGAACCCCAAAGTTCTGCTCCAAATGTCCATATTGGTCTCAGTAAGGTGTTGTAGATCAGTCGTTTGTTTCGTAAGTTAAGTGAAGATCCGTAGTCCAGAAAATGTGTAAGTTGCCTATATCGTCTAGTAAGCTCTTGTCTTTTTTTTTCGTATGTATGTTCCAAGAAGTCTTTTGTCTAAGTAGAGTCCAAGGTACCGTACATAGTTCTTTGAAGGCACTGCGTTATTGGCAATCGTTATGGTTGGACATGGGGCTTTCCTAAGAGAGAAAATAACGTGGGTAATTAATAATTGTTACTTTGTATTATAAACGAATACTGAGAGAAACTATTAAGGTAATTTTTAATTTTCGTCAACTCCAGACGGATTATAAATCACTTAGTCTTAAAAGTTGGAGTGCTGAGAATGGTTTTCGCATCTGAAAAAATCTCTGGAACCCTTCGTCCGACACACTTGTTCTCATCCATCCTTTGATAAAAAAATGGACTAGGTAGGCATTGAACTAAGACACGTCATGTAAGAGGATACCGATATGAATATATCCTGAACTCTGGGGAAGCGAAATTTCAAATATAGCAACTTAAAAGATTCTTATTATTTTTGATCGTTTTCTCTTCTACCGTTGAGGAAGTAAAGGAGCCCCAGAGCGCCAAATACACCACTCTTGATTCAGTGCTAACTGTCATATCCTCCTCTAGTCCATCTCTTCTATCAAAATCCTCCTTGACACCCTCCTCCCCACTCTTCTAAGGCCTTCTCCGAGGCCTATCGACGTTGCTTTCTAACGCAATCCAGTTCTCAGACATTCGAGGGACACCTTTCTGTGGACTTCACTTTTTCTTGTATTGCTCTATTGATCCATCCAAATTCATTTATGTAGGCACCAAGGTACTTAAAATCCATCACTTGTTCTAATGGAACAGCTTCAAGATGTATGTCTATTAGTTCAATTATTAATTGTGCTTAAAATAGATTTTAAGGTAAAATTTAAATATAATATAAAGCCAAGAATCTACTTCCTTCTTTGCCCTGTACCGCTCTTCATGCGATTTATTGTCAATCCTTAGCGTTTATAATCGCAGCTGGTTAAAATGTAGAAAATCTTTTCATTCTAGCTTTCGAATATTAGTATACATCATTTAACTCTATGAGGGTTATTTGGTTTAATTTCGGTAGCCAAGGAAAGCCTTTTTTTTTGTCAACCATTTGCAAAGAGAAGAGGTTGGAAAATATTCTACGAAACGCATACATGATACCCTAATATAGAACAAACTATCGTGTAATCACTCAAATACTGGTGTGAAAGATAACTCAAGTAATGAAGGAAAAAAAATATTTGACCTCTATAAATTTTTCTTTTTATAAAGAATTGTATGTATAACCATTTAAAAGGTAGAAGCAGTGCTGGCTCTAGCCTAATACAGCGGTACATGGCACCATAATGTTGAATAAATATATAAACATTTGAATTAATTAATTTAACATTTGAGGTAATTTAATTCCACAACAACAAAACAAAATCAACCCAGTAACCATCAGTCAAGATACAGCGAATTGGACTTTATTAACATGTTTCTTCAAGTATCCCGTAATTGTTTAATTTATTTGTAATTCAAAAGAAATTTGTAAGTTAAAATGAATAATAAAGAGAACAAATAATAAAAAAATAATCATTAATTATGTTTAATATATCTTTATTTCAGAAGACCAATGAATCATTTTCTCTGTTGGGCTAAAAGCCACCAAAAGCTTCATAGCAAATACAATATATAAATTTTAATTTCATTCAAATGATATCACTGATCTGCTGTTGATTGATTATTTATTATTTTGGGAATAAATTATAACTTATCTTTCTTTTATGCATTGGCACGGCAACAAGGTTACCATAATTAAAATGTAATCTTTGTTTTATTTTTCGACAATCTGAGATATTATTATGTGATAACAGTATTGCATGACCCTATGACATGCAAATTAAAATAGTGTTGGATATCTGGTTCGCATGATGTATGTAATGTGAGCCGTGTAGTTTCGAAGATATCCATCATGTGAAAGAGTGTCACAGACTGATAAGATTGTCATCTATTAAATTATGACATAAATTCTATAAACAGTTAGTGCTCGGAAGACATTAATGGTACTCACTCGAGCCTATCTCGAACCTTAAAATACATTCTGTTGCAGCGCTACCTAGAGAGTAGCTGTAGAGCGCATGTTGCGATTGAGGAGTTATTTTTAAAGAGACTTTTTATTTAGGAGGGAGCGGGGTAGCTCAGTGTTAGGGCACTGAACTTAATGCTTAAGGTTAGAACCTCGGCTCATGGTACACAAATTATTTATTCTGTTTGTCATTTTTTTTTAGAGGAGTACATTTTGACACGGTTAAGAAATTTCAATGAGAAAAAAAAAGAGTTTTAAAATAAATTAACTTCCAAACTACGGAAGATGGGAGGACATGTAACAAAGTGGAGGGCAGAGTGGCTAACGCACGTACACAGTACCACGCGTTGTCCGGCAACTTGATAGCCGAAATTAGAGATGGGAAAATAATTAACAGTTCAAATCCAGGTGCTTGGTGGGAATTTTAACTCGGTATAATTCTCTCCACCCTCTCATACCTCTCATAGGGAAAAATACATGGAACAGACAACATGAGTAATGGTTCATGATTTACAATTTTTCTAATTATACTTTCGCTTCCGCTCGACTCTTTGAAGAAGAGAAGTGAAATAAATTTTTTTTTGAGAAATGGGGGAGGGTGCAGCGTTATCGTACTTTGGGGGGCTGTGGGCTTCCATGATCAGATGTAGATTTAGAAAAATAAGACATGGACAAAATACAGGTACTCAGGTTTAAAATATATCAATTAAATATTGCATCTCCTGGTTTCAGGTGTGGCGTGCTATGCCGGCTACAGCCATGTTTTCCAACTTCAAGTCGCGGGTCGGCGGTGGAGGTGCACCACAGAACCTGGTCGACCACAATCCCATAGCCCAGCACTTCGACGTGGGCAAGGTCGCAGGAAGCGCCGGCCCGGAGCTGGTTTGGAGGGTCCATGATGCCTACAGGAAGAGCGATGGAAAGGTTAGTAGTAGTAATAAGTAAACAACGGATTATATAAATCATCCATAATAATTTTATTTCTCACCATAACAAGAAAATGAAACTAATAAAAATATATATTTATTGAATATAAAACAAATATTCCCTATAATTACAAAAATGGTATTTATTCTGGGGAATAAAATTAAATCACGAAAAATCATACTTAAACAAAACACGTGTACAACAGTTTTTATCTGCTGCAACTTAATTCCTCGACAAGGACACAGTATGTTGCGTTGGACTTTAATTCAAAAAAAGGATGACCTATGGTCTATATTGCAAAATGAAAAGAATGACTTTAAACAAACGAGTGAAATTATTTTTCTCCCTGTTTTTCAAATCATCAAAACTGAAAATTAGACTGAAACTCAACACATATACATACTGAAACCCTTACAGGTATATAATTACCGATTTATGGTATCAGAAAATAAGGCTCACAAAAACTGAAATATTCTCAATCCAAAATTATAAGACTTAAAAGAAGCTAATAGGTACCTAACGACTTACAACAACCGACCGTCATAATCGACCGTCATACTCCCCCGTTCACTTCACAGATATAATAGCAGACAGATAAGTAATATAGCGACTGCTGACATACCCATTAGGAGACGACTGACACGGAGCTGAATGAGAGACTTCCTGAATTTTGAGAACGATTCTCTGAATTTTCCGAAGACCGGGTAGATGACTAATCCTTCCCAATGCCTAGCATGATAAAGATATAATTTTCTCCATCCCATTCGCTCCCATTCGCTAATCGTCACTCTCAGATTTGACCGACGCTAATAAAGAGATAGAGTTGATATACAAAAAATATGATGGTTTACGGATTTCATCATTACAATTTTGAACATATCAAAAGCAGAAACTGTTAAAAATAAAGAGGACAACAATGTTCAGGTTGTATATTAATATGCTTGATTGAAATTGAATTGTCAATATGGACTCACTTGCTGAGAGAAATAAAACAGAAATTGAACAACCACACTTAATTACTTCCGCTAATTTTGGATCTGCGCTTCACATATATAAATGACATCCAAAAAAACCCTCATACGTAAACTAAAAATCTTTCAATAAAATATTCCAGGACTATAATCAAAGCTCCTTGACAGGTCAGCAACACCACTATACACAAATACCTACAGATGCTAACAGTTAACGATCACGTACTAACATACCACAAAAGATTTATCGGTAACAAAGACCGACTTACAGATTTATTGAGTCAAGGCATGATTACAAGCAACGTACTCGGTAACATTCGAAGAAAGTACAAAAGAAGGTGGTCGAGGGATCTTCTTGCTTAACTATAATTATTAAAATCAGGATAGGAAGGGATGTCGCTGGGCACTTCTCTCCCTCAAGTCCATCAATGTTTTACTCCTTATTCTATTTCCACACAGCTAACTCATTGGTTGTCAGTACATATTTCTGGAGAAGGCAGGGTGGAGGGGTGGTCAACATAGTTAACGCGTGTGCAAAACACCTGATCAACCAAAGTTTAGTTGATAACATAATAAGAGTTCGCGTCCCGGTAACGGGGAATTAATTAATTAATGTTTGGCATTAATTAATTGATTAATACCTCTACCATGGCCCGCGAAAAACCCCGGATAGCCTAAAAGGCAAGGGAGGGATGGAATAAACAATATATTTTGGATAGTTATGACTATAGAAACAAAGTTTACTATTATATACATTTGTTTAAGGGATTGTATGAAAAAATATAGTATATGACATGAGATTAATTTATTGTAGTTTGACCTCAATGATTTTTTCAATTTAAAGAACTTTCAGATATGATATAACCGAACTATAAAATAAAGAAAACAAAAAATTAACTTTAGATTAGGTTACATAATAACAGACTAATAAGAGACATGGCCACAGCTGACATACATCAGAACATGAGGAGTAGACTAAAAAGACGTTGGTTGAGAAATCTCCTTCCTTAAACAACCTGAGTAATTGGAACAGGTTCGGGAAGAGGTACTGCTGAGTCCTTTCCTTCCCCATGCCTGTCAAGACATTATTTCATGTATAGCTGTCACTTTTTTGCACGCAACATACGCCGCTGATTGTCAACAATAAGTTGACAGGCGCAAATATATTTTTATAGACAAAAAAAAAAAAAAGATTAGGTTTGCCTGGCCATTTGGAGGATGATTCCCTAAATCATTGACTTTTTTCCTTTTATGTCCTTAAATTGACAAACTTTTTGAGTTACCGAATTTTGAAAGTATTTTAATATCATGCACGTTTTCACCAATAATACATTAAACATTCCAGAAATGGTACCGTAAAACATGATTGAATTTTTTACATATATTTATTTACCACCTGAGGGGATGCGTGGAGACGAGGTGTGATCGGGGCGAACCGATCAACCCCTGCTAGTAAATGTTGGAAGGGAGAGCGATTAGGGAGTATTAGCCCAAGAGGGATGATAAATGGCTTTTTATCAAATCGGAAAAGCTTCCTTTCCAGCCATAAACCCATAAGTCACTTTGCCGGCAAAAAATGATTCGGAATTCCGCTTCGCCTGTTTCGATTAGATAGGTGTTCGATTATCTGCATCCCTGTGTAATAATATTGAGGTGGCTTTTGAGGAGGATGCCTTGGAATTGTATTAACGCATTCATACGTAAAAAAAAAATCGTCATGTCACTTAATTTAAACACTTCAAGTTAAAAATATCGTCTTTTTATTGTAAAAAGACATTCCCAAGGGGACTTGAGGTAATCGATTTCAATGAAACTTTTTTGGTGATATTTTTTTAAAATTTATTTATTCACGCTATTTACAAATGTATTAAAATAAAAACACATTTAGTAAATGTGTACTCAGGAATAATATAATCACATGAAGAAAATTGTTAAAAAACTAGCTATTGGAAGCACTGTAATTGTTGAATGCTGTACGCCTTCCATTATCCCGTAGCAGCGAGAAAATAAACCTACTGCTAAATTAGATCAGTTGGAGTGTTCAAAGAATGTCAAATTAAGGTAAAGCAATATGCAATTAAGAAAAAAAAATACCCAGTCCGCTGGTGTTCCTCAAGGTAGTATCCTAGGCTCTATCCTCTATACAGTTTATACAGCTGACATCCCTACCTATCCCAACACTGTCATCACCACATATGCCGATGACACATGTATCCTATCAGTAAATAATGACCCAGCAATTGCATCCCAAATGCTTCAATCACACATCATAAATCTAGAAGAATGGTGTCAAAACTGGAAAATTAAAATAAACTCCAATAAATCCCACCAAATTACCTATACCCTTCGTCGTAAACCAACAACTTCCTGTCCTACAGTTTCCTTTAACAATACTCCACTTATCGCTGTTGAGCAAATCCGATACCTAGGACTCCACCTGGACAAACGACTAACTTGGAATTCTCATACTAGACTGAAACCGCTCGACGTTTCCGATTACTTCAGCACTTACTAGACAAACGCTCTAATCTTCCAATTAATTACAAAAGACTCGTATACTTGACTTACGGAGTTGGACTTACGGAGTTGAGCTATGGGGCTCCACTAAACCATCGAATTCCTCTCGTATCCAATCCTTACAATCCAAAATCCTTCGTAAAATCCTCAATGCTCCCTACTTCGTTGCAAATAAAACCATCCATAATGACCTTAATGTTCCTTTTGTTTCAGATCTGGCCCAATCCAGATACCTATCCTTCTATAATAAACTTCAGAATCATCCCAACCCTCTCGTTTCTAACCTAGCTTTCTCTTCGATTCCTTGTAACCCTCCGAGGCGTCTGAAAAGAAGATGGCCCCGTGATCTCCTGATGTAAACATATAAGAGTGTTACCATTGGGTAGTTACTCAGCAAGTGTTTTTCATGTCATTATATACAGTATGTTCTAATTTACTAGATGTTTTTTTTTAATACAGTTGTAAATGTCTTTAAGAAAAAAAAAAAAAATATGTAATATAAAATAAAATATTACATCTGCTAAACTTCAGTAGTTGATTGGGGTTCCTAATCGTGAACATTTGTTGTTAATGGATTATTTATTTTAATTATAGGGATTACTTGAGATTTGCTGATTGGTGAAGGTGGTTTTGTGAATTTGTGAAATTGTGCTGTATACTTCATCCTGTTAATATTCCTTGCCGCTTCAATCTCCTCCATCTCTTCCGTCGCCTGCCAGCATATTTCCTGGCTCTCCCTAGCCACTTCTCTTGTAGTGGGTGTCTATCTGCTCATTTTCGCGTGTATGAGAGATATATAGAACATGCAGATCATTGCTTGCACTTTGAATGCCCAGATTCAAATAAGATTCACCAGATTCTTCAGAAATTTTTTGGTTCCACCTTCTACCAATAGATGGCGCTACTGTTCTCCAACATTTCAAATATAAAATTAAAAAGCTAAACATAAATGGATGTGGCCTTAACAGTTATAATATATTTACATGAGTAGATCACGAAACCATCTTATTTTCAGACGAGGAAGCAAAGTTTGAAACGGGAGGGTTCGGGGAAGGATAGGTATCTGGATTAAGCTAAATCGCACGTTAAGGTCGTTATGGATGATTTTATTTGTGATAAAGTAAGGAGTATTTAGGAGTACAAAAGATTTTGGATTGTAAGGATTGGATACGAGAGGAATACGATGGTTTAATGGAGCCCCAAAGCTCAATTACTTAAGTCCAAGTAGGCCTTATTATAGTCATATATATGAGCCTTTTGTAATATATTGAAAGTTCAGAGCACATGACGGAATAGTCGAAAACGTCGAGCAGTTTCTTGTCGTTTCAGTCTTGTATGAGGATTCCAAGTGAGTCCTTTGTCCAGATGGTGTCCTAGGTATCGGATTCGTTCAACATAAGTAAGGAATTGTTAAAGGATAGTCTAGGAAAGGAAGTCATAGGTTTACGACGTCAGTGATACTAAGTAACAAATTATTAGATCCATGTCCAACGTAATTACATAACGTAAACTATTTCTCCTAATTTAACG